CCACATTGTGTAGAGACCACACTACTACTTGTACTTAAGATTTGTTTGTACCTTTTGTAGCTTGAATTAAATGAATAAGGAATATTTACTATTATAAATATGTAAACAGTTTTCGTTGCGTTAGAACAAAAGGAATTATCTATAATCGATTCGTTCATCAACGCTACCTCATTTATTGCATAAGTCACAAAGCATTAACAACCGTATTTTATCATATTCTACGCTTTAACATATTCCGTCTTAATAAACTGAACAATGTGGAAAACTACCACTTCTTAAAAGAAAGTCTTAAATATCTTTGAATTTTTCTTGTCTTGAATCTTGAAATTTTTAAATATCTACATGTAACCTAGATTTTAGATGGAAATATACGAAAAATCTATTTCTGTGGACTTCAATAACATACTTTCCGACTTATTTACATTCAATAAATTTTCAAAGTAGGTAAACTGGGCGTGTCACTAATTCAAAAACTATATAAATTAGATAACAGTCTGTCTGTAATTTTGGCAACCGTACTAAAACGCCACTCAAGGTATGACGCGGTCGCTCAAGAAGATTTCATTTAACGCTTTTGTTTTACGTCATCGGGGGCACAGCATTGGCACTACCGAAATAACCAATCAACGATATTCCACACATAAACATTTCAACAGACAAATTACATGGATAATGAACTTCAAATGTTTAAAAATAAAACAAAGTAGGCTATGGCTCTAGCCTACAATGATCCAATGCAGTGTTGTCTCCATTAAACCTGACCACCATATAACAATGATGAAAATACGAAACTACTCAAATGCAAACTGACCATTATGACGATACAATATTATGACGTCAGAGGAGCTTAAGGAAGATGTGATGTGGAAATCGTTAGCGTACAACGCAGTCAAATGACAACTAGCGTACGTACAGCAAGGGCCATTGGCCACTCACCCCCGTCAACCCGGCCTGCCTGCGCCACCGCCGCAGCGGTGCAGCGTTTGCATTGCGTTGGGCAAAACTCCCCTGAAACACTTTTTGGCAACGTCCCTATAACATAGTGCTTTTACTTCAATATCACCGTTTCCAAGCTCTACAGAACCTTTAATTATAAATATAAACAGCCGAATTTCAATAGCAAGTGTCTTTATGCCAACACCTCGTTAAACTATAGACGCTTCATTAGTTGTAGAATAAGATTGCTCAATGTTTCAATAACAGTTGTATATGACAAAAACTTTTATCATTATTGAGTAATATCATTTGAACTATATTGGAACGACTAGGTACGCCATGGCATTGTAAAAATATTTGAGGCCATGAAACAAACACGAGGCCGCTTTGAAATTGAAAATTTCGCAACGATTCGATATAATTACGACGACAAAGTTTTCTTAGGTTATTTCGTTACAAATAGAACCGATTATTTTTAACCGCGGTACGTTTATTGCTTGCAAAGAAAACGTTCGAAAATTTATGTAACAATAACGTAATGTTGTCAAAACCTCCTGCTCTTTATTATGATAATAATGTGGATGAAATAGACAAAGTTTGTATAGTGCAAAAACAACATTGAATTGATACGAAACGTATGCGGTTTTAGTTCGCTTAATCATGGTTGACGTCATTGTACTTAATTTTAAGGTACATAAACAGGCACGTAGATTGATAGGAGTAACACATTGTACAGTCAGCTGCATAAATATGTACATTTACAAAGCTTTAAAAAATTGTATATTCCTTCGGTTTCAAAAATCTGTACGTATTATCGAAGCCCTTTATAAGCTTATAAAGCTTTGTATATGTTTACATATTCATGCAGCTGATTGTACAGAGCACATATTTCCTAGTGCAAAAATGGTGAACTAATGGCACGCATGTCATGTATTATATATGCATTTCGAAAAAAGAATGAAGAATTATATGAGAATAGAAAGCGAATAATTAAAAATAATTTAATGGCGCGTCTATGAAATATTTATTTAAAAAATGGCACTTTGATCCGTAAAGGTTCATTTGCAATTGCATCGTATACAGCAATTTTTAATCTCCCCCGATAACGATTGCGCTACTTGCTTAGAACTTTTTTTAATTACAGCTCAGATTTATAATTTTATGTACCCATAAATCAACGTTATCAACAAAATATATATGAAACCTGGAGTAACTTACTACTATGTATGTAAAGTCTTGAGTTCAAACACAAAATATTTATGACGTCTACTAAATCTAAAAGAATTCCCTACCACTTTTCTATTTAGGAATAAATAAGCTATAATTTAAAAACATTTGTAACGCACGATCTTTACGTCTCGAATCCTAACATGAATCGTCTGTAGTGAATCTTTAAAACAGGTTCGTTGCGACTGAATAGGGATGTTACGGGATGGAATCGGTTACGACGGGTTAATTTTACTCAGATCTGTCTTGCTATATGGAATGAAAACAATTGTATTCATATCGAATATTCTGGGACGGACGAGCGTTATAACAATGCATCTCATAATATTACATCTAAACAAATGCGGGCAATACTGCGTTAAACTGGATACTATCGTTTTTATTGTCATTTATTGTTTGTGGTTTGCTCAAATCATTTCTTTTACAATTATCATTGGACCATTACTTTTCAACCAGACGGAACATTAACATAAACATTGAACAAATGGCATAAAATTTACTAATAAAAAGTTTAAACGTATAAGACTGCTTAGATTGATAAAGGGGAAAACACAAAGGTATCGTAGACAATTGAACAAAAGATAAAATAAACTCAAAGCACAGATACAATTATTTGTTTAGATTATTTTAATAACGACAATACAGAAGTACGTGGACAAACAGGGACACTTAAAACACTTCAATATCTTTGAGATTTCAAAACAACTTATAGCATTTCGTAGAGAGACAGAAATTGAAATATTAGATTAGACAGAGAGAGAGAGAGAGAGAGAGAGAGAGAGAGAGAGAGAGAGAGCAATAGGAGACATAAATGTTATTTTGCGATTGGTTAGTGACCCTCTATTGAATATGCATACACTTTATTAAGAATGAAGAATACTTAAATACTCCATTATTTTTATTCTATATACTCCGATACTTTGCCTATGTATGAGAAACCAAGTAATAACACTGATGACTCGTTTTATAGACAACGTATGCATGCGTCATATTTGCTAAATAACCATATCCTCTTTACTAATTAAAGCTGCCAAAATAAAGTTTTAGTCACAGGAAAAATATGCTTATTATGACTTTAAATAGATGTAGATATAAGAAAAACATTTCAAAGGACCAATGGTTTTATTGTAGTTCCTTACTAATGCTAGCAAGTTGTTAAAATAAACCAGATACAAATATCAGTCTGTAAATTCCGCCGCACGCCTACAATCACATGACGCGTGAAAGATGCCTCTACTATGTTTCAAACAGGCTTATTTGGATTTTATTATCTGTACTCGTTACTATATTACAAGATCTCTAAGACAACTATCGACCAAAAATGCATATTCAATATACATGTGACAATATATATTATGATTTATCGACCTTTACTTACGTCTGTGAATCTATCACATACAAACAAAAAAATTACACGTGCCTTACAGCTAAACGAACTGTTATTGATTAGTTAAATCGATTAGATAAAATGCTCTCATGTGAATGTAATCCGTGTATAGTAAATATATGAACGTGTATTGCTAGCTCGCCGTGAACTTGACCGTGAGGGAAGGCGTCGGTCGAACGCCCACGTGATCATCCGTGAAGCCCCATAACACTCGCCTAACTTGCTGCCTATGTTCTATTTATAAAAATAAAAAAACACGATGTATCTAATCTGTTTTAGACCATGAAATAATGATTTATTGAAGCTGGCTAATCATCCCTCACTGGGTTTGTCGCTTAATTCATAAACATCATGAGAAATGCCTTTCATTTATCGATCAAGAATACTACAAAATAAAGCTAACCTAGTCTAGCCATATTATGATGTTTGAGATCTAATGCAAGCAGTACTTTAGCAGTCTTCAATTTGACGACAGTTCATAGACAAACCCACCGAGAGACTGCAATTTAGATGAGAAATAAAAGCATTAAAAAAATATCGGGTAGATAAAGTTATATCATGATAGATGAAACACGTGAACCAGATACGAGCTTTGTATCCGATGATTTTTGCGAGCCCGAAGCTTCTGACGAAAATAAACTCACGTGACCGCGGGCCGTATCTCGTGGCAAAATCACATTTTACGTATATTTAAATAACTTTTTTTTTTAAAGAAAATCGAACTGTGGACCGTTTTTTATTAACGTTTTGGCAATAGAAATAGGATATACGGAAATTTCACATTCGCTAATTCTAAGTATTTAAACGAGGGAATGAATTTAATGAAATTTTAATCATTTTTTTATATTCGCATGTGACAAATAAATAATAGTAAACAAGTTCAATAAATTATGCTTCTTATCACTGCTAACGTAAATGACCAAGTTATATTTGGTACAAGCTTTTATACTGTTTCTATTGTAAAAAAAAATACAAAACTCTATTCCTCTCATTCTTTGTGTAATGGACGTAGCATATAATTATGTATCATCAATATGTTTCATAACCATGTTTCGACAGTGGAACCATGGTTATAAAATATAGCTGACAGCTGGTAGAAGAGAATAGATGACAACATCTTTGGAATAAAGCCAAAGAAAAAGACATATTTCTCACTATGTAACATAGGTCTACTAATTTACATGCCCATACATTTTACAAAGTACAGTCTACAAATACATTCTTACGAGAATTAAACAAAAGAGTAGAGATAGCTTCAGTTCAGTTTGAAAGAATATTTATCACAAGCAAATCTAATTGCTTCAATGTAATTATAGATGGTTTCAAATACAATAAGTATTGTTGATTAGTAATAACTATATTAAATTTTAATTACCAATAATGCTTTTAGTTAAATGTGAAAAATTCTTAAAAAAACATAGCTGTTAGAAAATAATAAAATTTTACTGACCTTCTTCTGGACTGAGATCTCCAAACTTCACACCACCACTGTAAGAAAAAAGTAACATGAAGACAAGGCTTTACATATATTTTAATAATTTTAAGAGAAAATAAAAATTGATTTCTATACAACATTCAAATTAATTATATATGTTATAATTTATTTCTTACTTATAAATACTTTGGACATTTTAATTATTTTTTTAACTCAAATAATTACATTTGCACTTTTATTATTTCCACAATAGAGAACAAAAGTTTTACAGTTAGTTTCATCTATTATAAGAGATGGAACTCTTTTCAATGTGTAGGTGAATATTGAAACATTATTGATAAATTTAATTTTGTAATTTGAAATTTATATAAAAAAATTAATAAAAATTAAGTAACAAAGTTTGAGACTTAATGCTTTTGCCAAGGTTGCTTCGTACCTTAGTAGCACGGTAGCCGTTTCCGGCACTCGGAACACCTGGAAATAAATACATTGTGGAACCATGTTGTATTGGATCTCCAGTTGGAGAAACCATTGGGACAAATTTGACTTAATTTAACATATATCTTTACCGATATTTGGTCACTTTTAAGACACTATACAACATTGGAAGAGGCAATATATTAAGTGGATTCATTCAGTTTTAAATTTATTCTACTTGGAAGCTTTCCTCGTCAAAATACATAATTCCACTTGAAATTTTATTAAATAAAGACAATATAACTTGTTAAAAGTGTTAATAATAGCAATTTTGAATTCTAACTTTGATATTAAATTTTGAATAATTTAAACTCTTAATCAGATTATATTTAAATAATAAATGAGACAAGACAGTAAGACTCCAAAAAATTGCGACGTGTAAGTTCGCAATGCATTCTGGTATCTATTATAAATAATAAATACTTTAATTCATTTTATTATATTTAATAAGTAAATCCTTACCTTCCATCCCAAGTTTTCGAAGAAAGTGCTAAGACGGGATTGTCCAGTTGTTTTACCGCCACAAGGTCCTGCATAGGTTAAGAAAATACAATATGGATTTTGTTTGGTATTAGTCCACGTGCAAGACAATATTTACGATAATTTATTTTAAGAAACATAAGCAAAAAAAATAACGCGTTTTTATAACTTAAATTTGAGAGTATCTTAACACTTTAAATTAAAAATCATAATATGAAAATGATTTACTTACCACCAGTTAAAACCAATCTATACACAGATTTCTGGGATTGATTCGCCATTTTGATATAACGGAGTTAATAAATATGAATATAAATAAAAATTAAATTACACTACCAAATGTATTTGTACTACAAATATCATAAAACTGTTAAATGAACAATAAAATTAGATGAGGCCATTACAGCGCAAAGCGCTACGCGCATCGCCTGACAGGCGTGCGAACAAATGAAGGAAAAATAAGAAATCGAAACAGAGAAGAGATTGAAGATTGACTCAACAACTCACTCAAACAGAACGAATGACTTCAACATTTGATTGAATAGGGTTGCTATATCAAAAATATATAATGTGGTGGAAATGATGGAAACGTAGAACGTGGATCAATAAATATATAAATACAATAAAAATAAATGATTATAGGCAAACAATGATAGCCGGTGAGAATGGCGATGCTGTCGCACAACTGTCGCAGTTGATTCTATCAGAAAACGCGATTGTGACTTTGACGCAGCTGACTTGCGCCGCCATAACTTATCGAAAGTACAAACCATATAGTATACTCTTTGGTACAAACTCGATTAAACTTACAAAGAGTATATAAAATAAAAGACGGGACTCTTGACTAATTAGATACACAAACGGAGAATAAAAATTGTCATTTTCAATGCTAGCAATATTATGAACAAGTCTACGTTTCTACCAACCTAAAAAGATCTATCTGTCAGTTTCCTTTTTGACGTTTGAAAGTATTATTCGAGGGAAAACAATTTTGGAAAAATAAAACAATTTCGTTAATTGCAACTTTACTCTTTGGCATAAAGATCAGTGGACATCACTCATCACCATTCGCAAACATTCACCACTTTAAAAACTTTTATATTCAGTTGTCAACAAAAAAATATAAGGAATTTCTAAGTTTAGTTTTCCTTTATTATTTAAAAATAAAGAATAAAAACTTACACATGGAAAAATTACCTAACCTAGACCACGTCCTAATTACTAAAAGTGTTCAAAGAACTTTAACAATTAATAATATTACAACAATATTAGAATTCCTTCAACAAGATGCAGAAAAACTATCTACTCTAACAAAGTTAAACTTATCTCAAGTTTTAGATATCAAGAACGATATTTTTACCAATTTTTCTGCTCCAGTTGTAGATGGTCCTTCATTATTTGCCATGTACAAAAATAAACAAAGGTTCATTAGTACAGAAATAGACAGGTAATCTAGAATGACTACTATTTTAAATGGTACTATGTTTATCTGTTTGTATTTCACGCGTTTTTTTTTAAAGTTTGAACAATGTCTTAGGTGGTGGAATACCAGTTGGATATATATCTGAAATATGTGGTCTAGCTGGCTGTGGGAAGACACAGTTATGTCTTCAATTAGCAATTAATTGTGCCAAACAGACTGAAAATACTGTTCTTTATATAGATACCAAAGGTGATTTCAGTGCTGTTAGACTCCAAAGAATGTTAAATAATCTATGTTTTTCTCATGAGGTAATGGATAAACTTTTGAAAATAAAAGTATGCATTAGATTTTATGTAATATATTAAATAATTTTTATTTTTAGGAAATGGCAAGATGTTTATCCAAAATAAAAGTAGTACACATATGGACAATGGAGGAAATTGTGGATTTGTTTAAAAAGCTTAAAGATAAAAGCTTAACCATACATAATCTGGTATTAATAATAATTGATTCATTGCCATGTCTACTAATGCAACATTTTGGTGATGATAACAAAATAGGTATACATTTTTACTTCTCTTTATTTCACTAGTTTTTAAGCTTAAATTATATCCTTAGTAAATTATGTAGTATACCTTAATATCAAAAATATTTCTGCTTCTTTCATATAAGTCTTTAAAGGATATTATTAATTTACATATCTATTACTATAGTTGTCAACTATCTTGGCGGTTCTAAACATTATAATAGTCTCTGCAGTCTGCATTGAGCTGCCAAAATTTTAGAAAGGATGAATACTAGGCTATTATTAAATTTCAGTCTTAGATACAATACAGGGCTGCTGTTGTATCTTTCAGGTTTGAATTATTTAAATGTACTAGTCAATCATTGCCGCTTTGTTTGCAAGAATTTTGATGTTGGCATTGTATGTGTTAACATACAAACAAGATGGGTTCAACAAGATTTAGCTGACTATCAAGGTATCTATATAAAATGACTTACTTTAAAATAAGGAATAAAAATACTAAAAGATCTCTTTTCAGAGGAAGATGACCATGTAAGGGAGACATACGTAGAAAAACAAATAAGAGGGTCAGGCAAATACTGGCAACACATACCTGCACTGGTGCTACAAATGGAAAAAATAATTAACACAGATGATATTGAAACTAATAAAAACAGTTTTCCAGTGAAACTAAGTTTGATTAGGACCAATAAAATGAACTTAGGACAGCAATGTGTACTAAATGTGGGAAGTGTTGGTGTAAGATAATTAACGTTTATGATTTCTTACTTTAGTTATAATTATTTTAGTTTACATTAATTACAATACTCATTTCGTATTATTTTTCAAGAATAAACCGCTACCAAACAAATCTGACTCTTTTATTACTTTTATATAGCCCCGTCTGGTTAAACTTTCGTTAAGTATTCGGAGATTTTGGTACTCTCAAGTTTACAAGAAACCGAAGTTGAAAGTAATATGTTATTTTTAAAATATAAATACGTTCTAAATTAAGTAATTTCGATGAAAATTAAAATATAATATGACCCACGATGCGGGGTGTCCTCTTTATCGTTTAATTTCTTATTATAATACAGAAAACACGATCGCTTAAACTTGAGAACGATATTAAAAATGTGAAGTGCCTCAAAGAACGGAACGTTTTACATTTGTCATAGACAAAAAAGAGTAAAGCACGGACGCCCGCCATTCTTGTTTGCTGTCAAATTTTGTAATGTATTCGATTGTGTATAACTTTTTCGTTCTTAGGGCGTGAAAACGTATATTATATTATTGTTTTTAATTTTATTTTCACCATGTCCAATATATCCCTAGACAAAGACACATTTTATCGTCGCATGAAAAAGCTATATGCAGCATGGAAGGTGGGTTACAATGCGTAGATTTTTACGCTCGCATTTCTATTCCGTTTTCTTATTTTAAAATTGTTACAGGCTGCATCATCTGATTCTAAAAGTGACGATGGGTTGGCTAAGGCTGACTGTTTAATTTTTTGCGTTGGGGTCGACGAGGACACTTTATACAGTAAATCAACAGCTTTACAGGTTTGTATCTTTATTTTTTAACGTGCGCATGGATATGTTTTACTTGTGAAACCACTACTTTTGGTATATCAGACAATATAACATGGATAAAAATATTTTTACTGCCTTTGCAGTAACGTTTCACATGTCTTCATTTCAATATTTCTTTCTTCAATGATTATTATATTCAGTATAGTCAACTATACCTTGTGTAATATGAATCCCTTCAGCGTATCTTATTCGATAGTTAATGCATTTTATTTTTGCAGACATGGCTTTTTGGATATGAGCTTCCAGACACTCTAACAGTACTTACAGAAAACAGTATGTGTTTTTTGGCAAGTAAGAAAAAAATCGAATTTCTAAGACAAATAGAAAATGGCAAGGATGAATCGGAACTACCACCTGTTAAGCTTCTTATAAGAGATAGAGTAAGTATTAAAGTGTGCATAGAAAATAAGTTATGAAAGAATATTTTATACCTGCTTTTGAGCTACAGACAACTAGAGATTACAGTAAAAATTTGTGATAAATTTTGCATTGTAGTCTGGAACATGACAGTTATACATTAGCATTTTACTGGATATATATTTTTTGGCAGTGCAAACTAGTAGTACTCTTGAGAACAATCTTCTGCTCAAGTATGCATTGCTGACATAGGCTTCATAATTATTTTCAATTAGTTACTACAAACTCAGCATTTTTGTACTGTGTTAACTTAGTAAGTTCGGCTAATTTGTGTCATGTATGAAATTGTTTAAGTAGTAAATCATCTTACCTATTTGATTACAAATTATAGTCAAAGATGTAAGTAATAATTTATGAACAATCCCGGATTAATAAATTTTATTTACAATAATGTATGTTGAACTTGTTTTAAAGTCAATTAGAAATAAACTAGTCCTTTAAAGGAAGTTGACCTTATTAGATTTCTAATATGATAAATTTAGACAAAAAATAGTTAAAACCATAATGATTTTATAGTCTAATTACTAAATAACTGTGTAATATTTTCTTATAGAATGATAAGGACAAAGAAAATTTTGGAAAACTTATTCAAGAGATTAAAAAATCAAAATCGGGTAAGACAATTGGCCTTTTTGCAAAAGATGTCTACCCCGGTGAGTTCTGTGAAAGTTGGAAATCAACAATGAAAGCGGAAAAATTTGATAGCATTGATATTAGTTCTTCAGCTGCATACATTATGGCTCCAAAAGAAGACCCAGAAATTATAACAATTAAAAAAGCATGCTTGGTCACAGTTGATGTTTTTACGAAATACCTAAAGGACCAGGTCATGGAAATTATTGATTCTGACAAGGTAAATTGAAATAAGCATTAATTTACACAACAAATAAGTCATAACTTTGTTACTGGTTTCTCTGATTTGTTGACGTAATTTTAGTTCAGTTGTATATCTGAATATTTGATTGGGTAAATTTCAGTAAGAACTGATTAATAAGACAGTAAAGAGACTAATCAGTTGTAATAACCAATAATGTTAACTAATTTATATGTAACTAGTGGTCGCCCGCAACTTCGTTCGCGCGGAATTGAAATCCATTTAGCCATACTAGATACCTTCAAACAAACATTCATCCATGTAAACATTCACATTTATAATGTTAGTAAGATGGAATTCAGCCAATATCTACTGTTTAAGTTGCTATATCCTACAAATATGAAATTAATGCTTTTTTTAAATTTTTCAGAAAGTAAAACACTCGAAACTAGCGGAAGGTGTAGAAGCAGCGATTTCCGATAAGAAATATGTAACAGGAGTTGACACAACGCAATTGGACATGTGTTATCCACCTATAATACAATCAGGAGGCAATTACAGTCTCAAATTCAGTGCTGTGTCAGATAAAAATCATCTACATTTCGGCTCAATAGTTTGTTCATTGGGTGCAAGATATAAATCCTACTGTTCAAATATTGTTCGGACATTATTAGTTAATCCGACAGACGAAATTCAGAGCAATTATAATTTCCTTTTGAATGTCGAAGAGGAAGTTATGAAAAATTTAGTAGCCGGTGCAAAACTATCTTCGGTTTATGAATCTGGATTGGCATTGGCTAAGAAAGAAAAGCCCGCACTGGTCGATAATCTTACGAAATCATTCGGGTAAAAATCTTTTTGTTATAAGTAAATTAAATATGTAATTTTTGTTTCTTAAACTTTCTTTTTTTTTCTAGTTTTGCAATGGGTATTGAGTTCCGTGAAAGCTCAATTGTGATTGGACCGAAAACATCTATTGTGGCCAAAAAGGGAATGATTTTTAATATCAACATAGGTTTGGCTAATTTGACCAATAGCGCGGCAACAGACAAAGAAGGAAAGGTAAACAAAATATATCAGTTGCTATATTATATTAAAATAAATCCAAACCTTAAATTTGTAATGTAATTGTTACTTTTTTTTTAATTTTCAGACATACGCACTGTTTATCGGCGACACTGTATTAGTGAACGAAGAACAACCAGCTTCTCTTCTTACACAATCTAAAAAGAAAATCAAAAACATTGGCATCTTCTTGAAAGATGACGATGAAGAAGAAGAGGAAGAAAAGGAGAATAAGACTGAAATACTTGGTAAGAGTTAAAGAGAAAGAAAAGTGATAACATTACAATGTTTTTCATTATAAAATTTACATTTATCATGCCTACATTAATTTAATGAGATGTAATGAAAATTCCATCACCGGAATATTCATACATATTCCCGGCCTAAAGCTTTTTTAATCTGCTTCAATAAAGTGTTTTTTTTTTGTTCTGTTACTGATATATTTTTATTTACTTACATGCAAACCTGGACAAATAGAAAATGGCGGTAAGTTTTACTTTTATTTTTGTATTGCATGTTGATTAGTTATATAAATATTTTGGCACTAGAATTAAAAAAAAGGGTTTTTTGTATTTAAATATTGCCTTTTTTACCTCAGGTCGCGGTAAAAGAACTGCAGTGATTGAGTCAAAACTAAGAACAGAGCATTCCTCTGAAGAGAAACGCAAGGAGCATCAAAGGGAATTGGCGATTGCACTCAATGAAAAGGCTAAAGAACGTCTCGCGAAACAATCCAGTGGCAAAGACAGCGAGAAAATAAGGAAAAGTACAGTCTCATACAAAAGTGTCAGTCAGATGCCGAGAGAAAATGAAGTGAAGGAATTAAAACTATATGTTGGTAAGTGTACATAACATTATTGTATATAAGTTCGAGAATTAAGTTCATAGAAGATAATTTAAAAATTATTTTGTGAATCAATGAAACTTTACTTTTTTAAATAACAAGTGAACAAACACATATTGAATTTAGCTACACATGCAGAAATTGGTTTCAGCAAGTTTGATATCAAATAAGTTTTGTTTTATTATTATTTTCAGATCGCAAATATGAAACAGTTATTTTACCAGTATTTGGTGTGCCAGTTCCATTCCATATTTCCACAATAAAGAATATCTCACAATCAGTAGAAGGTGATTATACATACCTCAGGATAAACTTCTTCCACCCCGGCGCCACCATGGGGAGGAATGAGGGTGGTAATTACTCACAACCAGATGCCACATTTGTTAAAGAAGTGTAAGTAGACTAAATTATGATAAGAATTTGTAATACTAAAATTTCCTGAAAAAAAAACAAATTAAGATTCTTAATTAGTTAGAAAATAACTAATTTTGTACTTTACACAAGGAAAAATTGTGACTATTACAAAGGAAATTAAGTAATAATATTTTGAATTCTTTACAGCACATACCGAAGTACAAATACAAAAGAGCCTGGCGAGATATCGCCACCATCATCAAATCTCAACACAGGCTTTCGTTTGATAAAGGAAGTTCAGAAGAAGTTCAAAACAAGAGAAGCGGAAGAGAGAGAAAAGGAAGATCTTGTAAAACAAGACACCCTCGTTCTCTCACAGAGTAAAGGCAATCCCAAACTTAAGGATCTATACATAAGACCCAATATAGTCACAAAGAGAATGAGCGGGTCATTAGAAGCACATAGCAACGGGTTTAGATTTACGTCAGTCAGAGGAGACAAAGTCGACATTTTATATAATAATATTCAAAATGCATTCTTCCAGCCGTGTGACGGTGAAATGATCATTTTGTTACATTTTCATTTAAAACACGCTATTATGTTTGGTAAGTTATTTGTTTAAAGTTACACTACAACACTGTCATACTCCAAATGAGTCAGAATAGAAAACTAAAAGTATAAGCAAGTTTATTAGGACATATTCTTAAACCATTTATCTGTTTCCAGGTAAAAAGAAGCATGTGGACGTCCAATTCTATACAGAAGTGGGTGAGATAACTACGGACTTGGGCAAGCACCAGCACATGCACGACCGCGACGACCTCGCCGCGGAGCAGAGCGAGCGCGAGCTCAGGCACAAACTGAAGGTCGCATTCAAGAGCTTCTGTGAGCGAGTCGAGAATATGACCAAACAGGAGGTCGAATTCGACACGCCTTTCAGGTATGGATGATACTTCGACAGAATCGAACACAAATATCCAAAAAATTCATGTACTAATGATGACTTATCTACTTTAGACAAATTAGTATAATTCATTTCAAATATTTGGGCGGCTCATGGTCCTCGACACGTTGCGTAGTGCCTTCCCGCTGCGTCCCACGTCATCTTAAATTGTGTTTTGCGCAGCGACTAACTTGCTTGCTTTCTAATACATGAATTCTTGTTTTAAATTATTTTCAGAGAGCTAGGCTTCCCTGGTGCGCCATTCCGCAGCACAGTACTACTACAGCCCACATCAGGAGCACTCGTCAATCTCACCGAGTGGCCGCCGTTTGTTATCGCGCTAGAAGACGTCGAATTAGTTCACTTCGAGAGAGTACAGTTCCACCTTAAGAACTTTGATATGGTGTTTGTGTTCAAAGACTATGCTAAGAAGGTCGCCATGGTGAATGCCGTGCCCATGAACATGCTGGATCATGTTAAAGAGTGGCTAAAGTAAGTAGATTTTACATATTTTTTCCTTTAAACTTTTGTTATGACGTTATCTTTCGACAAGATAAAAGTGACATACAAAGATGTTTTATTGAATTACGTTTTTTTATTTATTTCATTTTTTGTATAGTTCGTGTGATATCCGCTACTCTGAAGGCATACAATCTCTCAACTGGACAAAGGTTATGAAAACTATAACAGACGACATCGAGGGCTTCTTCAATAATGGCGGTTGGTCGTTCTTGGATCCGGAATCTGATGCTGAAGATGCGGGACAGGTGGGTAGTTAAAAACAATTAACACATTTAATGCCATTATGATTTTACAAAGTAAAGTGACCTCGCAAGGTAGTCAGTAGATAGCATTGAATGTGTTAACTAGTTAATGAGTAAAAGCTAAAGTATTTTTTTAATTTATTTTTGCGTAGGATGAAGAATCGGAAGAAGAAGACGATGCATACGAGCCGACGGACGTGGAATCCGAGGAAGAGTCGGATGACGACTCGGAATACGATTCTGAGGCCTCAGACGCTTCCGAAGGATCTGGTGATAGTGAAGGTACTTTATCTGATATAAACATTTTGTAATTATAGAGTACCACAGTCAAATTTCTGTTGAATTGTTAAAGTTGACAACTAAAATGGTGTTTCTGACGTATTTTTACAGAAGAAGATGAAGAATCAGGTAAAGACTGGTCAGATCTAGAAAGAGAAGCGGCGGAGGAAGACAAAAAGGAGCGTAACTACGATCACAGAGAGGACTTCGACAGGAAGAGGAAAGGTGGTTGTGACAGACCGCGCTCCTTTGATTCCGAGGGCCACAGCAAGAAGAGCAAGCACGACAAGAGTTCCAGTCACAAGAGCTCCAGCCATAAGAGTTCCAGTTCACACCACAAGAGCTCCAGTCACAAGAGTCCGTCTAAACATAGCAGTAGCAGGTATATCATTACACAAATATAGGTGTGCTCTAAAATCTTATACAATTTTCGTCTGGCAACATCAGGGTAAAAATTTAGTAGTAACCAAAAAACTAATAAAAGTCTAGTATACATAGTTCGTTTGAAATATCTTGACGGCCCAAAGTCGTCTGTGCGATGCGCAGTACCCTGGAGTCGCCAAAAGAATGACACGTGCTAAACTCAATTGTGAATTTAATTTTCAGTCCGTCAAAGAACCGCGACAAGCACCACAAGTCGTCGCATCACGACAAGCACAAGTCTTCGTCGCACAGCAAGTCCAATGGAGAGCACAAGAAGCACAGCGACGGCAAGTCCTCGCACAAGCGATCGCGTGACGACAGCCGGGAGCATGAACGCAGCTCCAAGAAACCCAAGTCAGTAAACACATTATAACAATATATAAAAATTGATATATTCATCCACTGCTGGATAAAAGCACATATCCCAAAGCATATTCATTGTTTACTAGTCCGCTTTTTCCACGTAATTAATCAATACAAACCTAACCTATGCAAAACAGTCAAATTATTGTAATGTTTAAAAAATTAGTTTGTTTAACTCGTAAGTCAATTCAAATTTTAAAGTTTTGAAATTCTTTGTTTCAGGAAATAATATGCCAAGTGAAGATTCTCAATATTTTTTATAAAACGGGTCTCCAACTGTTGATGGCGTGATGTTTTACTTAACTTGTTATCCAGTTCTGTACCAAGCCCAATGTCCACCTCTGTTTATGTGTAAATTGTGTTCCGACAGTTTTCATTGTATTTGTAGTATATATTGATATTTTCTAAATTCCAACATTAATGTAAGTTATACAAATAAAAAAGAAAACAAAATAAATTTTAAGATTTTTCTATTTTTTGTATTATTCATTTAACTCTTAAGTTAAGTCGAAAAAAAACTATGGTAACAAAATAAATTAATCGATCGTAACAATAGCATGTGGATTTATTATCTTACAACGCAAGCTAAAGTAAATAAAATAATTGTACACTATTTACAGAAGAGGAAAAAAACTAGCATCTACAAATTTGTAGTTTTATGACAAGTCATTTGGTCAGTTTTTCGATAAGTCAGTTTCTTGCGCGGTGACGACGGGCCCACGGGGCAATACTGTCAGCCTCTTGGACTCTGGAAACTTGTTCAAATCTTGCGACTTCATTACATCCTTATGTTCCTGAGTTTCACTTGAACTCCAATACTTTTTATTGACTAGCATAAGTAACATTAAGGCTGGTAAATGTATCAAAGAGAATCTGAACAGTTTCCTTGAACTACCACTGTCTGATTTCTTGTAAAATTGCCAAGCTGAAAACGAAAATATTATTTAATATAAATCTACCTCAATTCTTTTCATTTACAATTTTTTTACATATATCAATAATATAATATACAATTTATTATCTTTAAAAATGCACCACATAAGTACATTAGTTCTACTCACCTAAGTACATAAAATATACATTTAATGGTAAGGACTCCAAGGCGAACCACATATTTGTCACATCTAAGTATGAAGAAGCAATGCAAGTCGCCGTTATAACTCCAGTGTGTCTTAACGCTACTCGTCGACATAAACCTAAAAATAAAGTTGATTTATGAAGTACATTATCTTGCTCGTCGATTGTTGAAATCTTCTATATTCTATTTTCAACTCATTAATTACTAATTAAACAAACAAATTCTGTAACAGTCTGACCAGGATCAGTAACAGCCATCATTCTGTACCCGGCGCGCGAATAATCCGGTCGCAAGTTCCACGAGAGGGCATTGAAGTGCGGGAATTGCCACGAGTACAGCACCATCCCTAGCACGAGCGCACCCGCGTCTAAACCGCCCGTACAGCCAGCCCAGCCCATCAATGGTGGTATCGCACCAACTGGAGTAAACACATTTATGATTTTTAAAAGCAGCAAGGAGTATAGCACAAAATTTTATTAGAGGATTTGACAACTATGATTTATTTGAGTGCTTCAGCTTATCCTGAATTATTTAACACAATTAATGCCACAAATTAGTCCTGCAAGATCACTGTAGTACATAAAAATTGTTGTGGTATTTAAATGTAGCCAACATTTCTTAAAATTTTTTGCTGATAATACCAACAATAACATAGGTAAATTTTTTATGGGTGTTATTTGCTACGTACCAACAGACCCAAGCCATGTATTTAAAATAGACATCCTTTTCATAGGAGTATACACAGATGTATAGAGCACAAGGTTGCCTGCACCTAATGCTGCTGTCAGTGGATTAACTCCGAAATATAATACACCAAGTCCTGTTGCACTTGTAACTGCTGCAAAACTGATCGCATGGACAGGTCTGCAAATAAAGAAATTATAAAATATTATTCTTCATTGTAATACAAACAGTATGGCATTTTCTCTCAAAATCAGAAACATACATTTTTTTAATTAAACAATATTGATTGATTATTATTATTGTATACTATACTAGCAGGCCCAACAGATGTTGTCCTGTCTACATGTCTTTAATTTGAATAAATTAATATGAAGTTAATATTTGATGAAAATTGTGAATCTAAACTATTCCCAGATCCCCTTGAACACACACAAAAAATTTCATCAAAATCGGTCCAGTCATTTGAGAGAAGTTCAGTGACATACACACTCACAGAAGAATTATATATGTACAGAATACAGTTCCATTAATAAAGACATGGCAAAATTAATACATTAGATGTCAGCAACATCACCAACAAAAGTTCACTTTGTTACAAGAAAATCATAGTTCTAGCAAGGTAATTCATGAATTACATAAATACTATTTCTTATGTTACAAAGACAGTACTTACTCTAGCAATCCTTTAACAAGCACTCTGTTCTTAGTTCTTGACATTTGAGCATCAAATGGCACCTCATGATACTGGTTGATAGAGTTAGCTGCAGAGGAAACTAAGCCAGTGCCAACTGCACATAGGGCAAATGTTGTGAAGTTGAATGGTGCAGGGGCAAGAGCATATCCCGCCATTGATGTCATCACTACTAGAGCTGAAAACATACATTTTTGATACTATTAATATGTGGAATGGAAAAAATGTATTATGAATTTTTACAGGTTGTTACTAGTTTAAATTAAAAAATAGTCATAAAACTGTTTGGGATATTGTTTTAAATTACTATTAAATTTAGTTTCGGCTACCTTGAGCAAAAATTTGTTTATGCTTTGTAAGAAGCCCTCACAAAATTTACAATGACATATAAATATAAAAATTTAGCTTACATGTCAAACGAAATTTTGATAGCATCATACAGTAGTTGCCCACATTGTTCTTAATGTCATGTGTTGGTGTTTCTTTCCATGCTCTAGTGTCCTTTGGAATTTTTTTGCCCTTTACATTTTGCAAGCTCTGAGTTTGTGTTGTTATTGGTAGTTTACTTTTCCAGTTGTTTGAAGTTGATATTTTGGCCAGTTGTTGTATTTCTTGACCTTGCTATAAATGTGTAAAAACTATTTAATAAATGGCCAAATAATCCAATGTGCTATCCATTCAATTTCTAATGTAAAACACTGTTCAGTAGGTTAATCAATAAGATTTGAATTAAATGACATATTTAATCAAAATATTAATAAATTACTCACACCAATTTTAAGTAGTACTGATTTTGAAGAAAGGCCGTAGATGCCATGCTTAACACAAAAACTACAGTGCAACACCTTTAGGTAGGACATGGTAAGGAAATATCGCTACACTATTTCTAGGTTAACATCCTGAAAGAAAAACGGTGTTATGTCATTGCATTTATCTAAAAAAAATTGTTTTAAAATTATTTACAAACTTGAATTAAATCAATAAATTATGTAATGTGTTATAGGTTTGTTTACTGCACTTGAATTGTCAACTGCTGTAATTTTTTATGTATGTATGGTAATGCAAAATTTTTTATACACTTACTTAACTAATTAGTTATTTGTTTGCTGGAAATGTAAAAAAATCATAAACATACATCTGTGAACAAAATATGATTTATAAAACTTCAAAATATTATAGGTTAGACTTGAATCTATGGAACGAAGGACGTCCGAGTTTGACGTTTGAATTGACCAATTGACAGAGTTCCGTTATCGTCATTTCCGACAGGTGTCAAAATGATGATCTATGGTTGATGCTATTTAAATAATATAAAACAAGAAAACATGAACCATTTATTTCTCCCTTAAAATATATATTTCATAAAGAAAGTGACCACAAATGATATTTAAAAAGTCAGCATTGTGTACAAATATTGTCCGATTTAGTTTATCTTGAGTTGTTTTTCTTTTCAAGCAACATTTGTCCAGTGTTGACATGTCAATTAAATTTCCACAATCTTGTTGCGCGATATTCTTGTTTTCCCAACAAATTTGTACCTTTGAAGCAAACTATTAATCTAGTCTTTTAATTATTAAAACTTAACTTTTTTTTACCATGTTGAGCTTAAAAAATGCAACTTTAGGTATTAAAAAATGACAGATCTGGAATATTTACCACCATTTCATTTCAATTCACCACAAGTAATTCTTTTTAGCAAATTGTTGTCTATTTAAAAAATTATCGGCAAAACTTAGTGTACCTATGGCAATCCAATTTTTTTGTTTTTATTTTGATTTCAATTGATATTCGAATACGGAAGTGGTTGGTTACCTCTGTTGTTGTCACTTTATTTGCGAAACATATTCAATTGCCTCTTTAGAACTATGTAATAACGATACAAATTATGGTGAAGAGTTTGGTTTCCCCGTATTAGATTTCTCTAACTCTAAGCATGGCTTCGAGGGGAGATAAAGGGAATGGAAATGGCGAAGAGCAGATCGTCGAGGTAAATCGATTTGCCCTACATACCGTTGACAGTTAAACTTGACCCGAGTTATGTATGAATTGATGATATTGGTGTTTTTTAGACGCTGGCGGAGGTATTCCGGTGCTTCATTTGTATGGAGAAGCTGGTTGACGCGCACCTATGCCCTCATTGCTCCAAGCTTTGTTGCTATGCTTGTGTTCGGCGCTGGCTGACCGAGCAGCGGTCTCAGTGCCCGCACTGCCGTGCTGCACTTCATCTGCACGAATTAGTGAACTGCCGTTGGGTAGAGGAGGTTACCCAACAAATAGAAACCATGCAACAAAGTAACTCAGCTAGTCAACGAGAAAGCTTCAGGGACAGGTATCGTCCTAATATCTTAAATTTAAGCAATATTCAAGGTGTTATAGTTGGTGTGATTTACAAATATTTCCAACTATTTGCCATTTTTAGCATGGAACTCTATTTGAACATGTCTATTTATCTGTTACTACACCTAAAACATGTTTTAATTTAATTCAAGTTAATTTTTCTATATCTTTTTTCTATTGAAACATATCACACAACATTACATTCTGGTTAATAATCCTTTAATTTGAGGGTAGAAATAAATGTAAACGAAGTGTTTAAACAAAAGGTTTTGGGGAAGCCCTGAATAAGTTTATGTTATGAAAATAATTTACTTCTTACTTAGTGGGTGAAACTTGACTAACTAATGTACCAAAAACCTGGACCATTCCAATCAGAAAAATAAACTACAAACTAAAATTTTTATTTCCAGTCAATTACTGACAAGCGATTCAATTCGATCAAATCTAAAAAATTCAAAATTTTAACTCATTCTATAAAACTAAAATGCAAAATTATTCTTCTATCTTACTAATATTATAAATATGAATATTTAGATGGATGGATGGATGGATGTTTGTTTGAAGGTATCCCTAGAACTGCTCAATGGATCTTGATTAAATTTGGTGTACATATAGAACATAGTGTGGAAGAACACATAGGCTTCTAATTTTTTTAATTCTGCCCGCACAGAGTCGCGGGCAATACCTAGTATTAATATATTTATGACATCGGAAAAGGGAAGTTTTATAAAACAATGAAGGGAAATACATAATAAAATAATATTAATGCCCACTGTTTATGTTCAAACCTTTGTATATATAATTCATGAATCATCACAGTGTTTCTTGAATGCTTTGTTTATAAATTCTACCACTTCTTATTAAAGCTGCAGTAAACAACATTCCATATAATTCTATACATATAAAGTCTGATTTGAACCAGTTTACAGGTAGTAATGAATATAAGTACATTGTTTTTTTGTTTTACAAAAACCCATTTTTAAAAGGGCAAAACAGGCTGTATCAACTATTTGGTATCATTTTGCCTTAATGGCTTATAAAAATATTCCATACAATAACAACAGAGAATATATTATAGACAAATCTATAAAAATAAGTTTCTACTATAGACCAGGGATGGTGAACAAATGGCATGCCAATTTAACAAAATATTTTAGCAAACAATATATACGAAATTAATGCTATTGGACAAAAAGTATTAAGTATTATATGAAGAGCTCATATAAGTGTTCTTTGCTCTATGGCATGTTTCCAATAATCTCAAGGTCAAAATTATTTTATGTCCTTTCTAAACATTTGTTTAGAATGGCATGGATATGTAAAGGTTTACTATCCCTGGTATAAATATATCTGTTTCTTATAATCTATGCTATCCATTACCAAAATATCTGTATAATTTTGTACAAATACATGGTAAATTGGCATTATTGTTGTTTTATAAAAAATCAGGTCACTGCTAAAACATGAATAATAAGTGCAATTACAAAGAAAAACATTGTGTTTATGTTTTTTAAATGTAATGTAATCCTTGTTGCGCACTAATTGGTAATCAGATTCACTGTTCTGGCAATTAAACTTGCTGTTAGCACATTAAAGAAATAATTACATAATTGTTTTGATTAACAACAGATTGAAAGAATATAATAAAACCTAGACAAGACTTCTTTATCTGTTATTATAGTAAACATTAAGCAATTGTAGAATGAATGGGTGATGAGATAAAAAGATTTTTACAATAGGAACTCCATGTAGTTTCACATCAACTATTCCTTAAGGAATAATAGGGAAATGATATATTTTTTTAATTGACAAAAAAATGCTTTGGGACACCTTCAGATATGGGATCTACATGTTTGGTGTGTTGGAGTTACACTCATTGGAATTCACCTATACTTATGTGGCATAGTTGCTATGGTGTTTTTGATGATTATGATAATGTGTGTATGTGTGTGTTGCAGATGCCCTACACACCAGGAGAAGCTGACGGTGTACTGCTGGACGTGCCGGCGCTGCATCTGTCACCAGTGCGCACTGTGGGGCGGCACGCACTCGGGCCACACCTTCAAGCCACTTGAGGAGGTGTACGAGCAGCATGTGACGCAGATTCGCGATGAGGTTTCGCAGCTTCGGCGGCGGTTGATGGAGCTTATCAGTCTCGTACAGGATGTTGTGAGTTTGCATGACTTTTAATTGTGGTGATGTAGTATTAAATTATTATATGTAGATTATATTTACATAATATCCTTAGCTTATAGTGTCATCAGAAACCGTCAAATTGTGAATTTTTACTTTTTTAGCATAATTTGGCACTTAATAAATAATATCTCCTGTAGTGTTAGATACTATTTTACAGTCAATTACTATTGATTACTTCAAAAAATTATCTGTGTAGGTTAATTTAGTAATAGTAAATTATTTTTAAGTTTGCTATTCGCGCCAGGAACGTAACGTGGAGTCGGTGCGCGCGGCGAAAGACGAACGCGTTCGTGAGATTCGCAACGCAGTAGAGCTGATGATATCTCGGCTGGACTCTGCGCTGAAGGCCAAGCTGCTAACGCTGATGGGCCAGAAGAATAGCCTCACGCAGGAGACGGAGCAGCTCGAGCATCTGCTGCAGGAAATCGAGCACCAGCTACATTCCAGTACAAGGTTCATTTTTCTATTGATTATCCAACTCTAGACCCCTTTTCCACTACGCGACTACATTCGTGCGCTATTCTAAATAGAGTCTCACAATACAATTTTATGTTTTACGTAATTTTAATTTAATTTTGTTGATTGGGTTCATAATCTGGTCGATTTGTAATCCGAAACAACTTGTATCTCAGGTCTGAATTGATAGCAAAAAGCAGTGAACTATCGAAGATGATACATCAGGTCCGCAAGAAGCCTATGGCCAGTTTCGTGACTGCTCCAGTGCCCGCTGATTTCCACAGGCAAGTATGAAGATCGCATCTTATAAAGAACTACATGGAATGCAAAAACAAAACTTTTTTGATTCTTTAACACGGGGGAGCGTATTTCAGAGTTGGCTTAATTTGGGGTTTGCATAATGCAGACTTCGCGTAATTCGGATTTGGCGTAATTTAGAGTTGATATTTCGGTATATTGTACAGTGAAATAGTGCCGAGCTACGACAGCAGCACGTTCCCGCTGTCGAACTTCACGCAGCTGCAGCACGCGGCGGCGCCGGTGTACTCCGCGCCGCTGCACGTGAACGGCCTCTGCTGGCGCCTCAAGGTCTACCCCGACGGCAACGGCGTCGTGCGCGGCAACTACCTCTCCGTCTTCCTCGAGCTCAGCGCCGGCCTGCCAGAGACCTCCAAGTGAGTATCCACCTTTACTGTGCACCGACTAACACTTCTTCATTATTTACTAAAACCACGTTAATAAAATTAATTCAATTATTTAAATTATGTAATAAATAGTATATAATATTTACATTAACTGCTGCACTCGTTAAGTCTCATTTTATACTAAACTTTAAACATCTTTTAAGTAAGCATTAAACGACTGAGGTTGGCAGTTAGTGTGTTAAGAAATCAATATTTTACAAATTACATAATATTTTTGTTTAATTTTTCCATTATGTGATAGAAAAACTAATATGTTTGATAATAATTCTGGGAGTAACACTATAAATTTGATTATTCCAAGCTTTGCTAAATTAAGGGTAGGCAAGAGGTGAGTTCCAAGATATATTGCGGCTTGGGTCGTTGTAGTGCGTTCTGTGTGCGAGCATGCTCATCGTTTGCAGACTATTTGTTACAACCGCTCTCTGTCTCTATATCATTCAGCTGTAGATAACTACGTTCTGGATACTGCTATCGTTTCATCGATTAACTATGTTTCATATATTTTATTGACAATGAATCAGCGTCGAATTATTCTGATTGATTAAGTATGTTGTTTTTTTTTTACTAAATTTTCAATTTGTAATAAAAGGAAATTCCTTGTATTGTGATATTTATAAGAAAAAACATTTTATTTTTCTCTTAAAATAAGGTTAAAGTTAACCACAATTCTATTAGATTAGATATTTTCTTCAATGGATATGGTTAATTTATGAAAATTATTCAATTTTTATGTTGAAAAGGAAGTTTATTGTACGAGGAGGAGAATAGGCGACATATGCATTTCCGCAACGATTTGTTAAAACATTAAATGTAGCTTTCTTCATTCGTGGTATTTTTGGAAATAGCTATAATAATATATTGATTCATCGGCCTAGTGTCAGCTTTGTAATAATACTTCTGTCCGCTATATCTGTTAGTGCTATATGCTGCTGCGTCATTCAATACTCATACATACATTTATTCATATACAATTATTCAAACAATTTATATACCGTTTAGGAAGAAGTTTACCTTTCTATGCCCTTCATACGTCCAACAGTGTGATTAATCAATAAATAAAGTTCGCGTAATAAACCAAAGTAATGCATTAAACAAATAAATGAAGTTTGTGTAACTTTTAGTCAAATCAAATATGATAAATATATCAAATACTAAGGTGAAAACTAAACAAAGAAATAGTTGAAAATTACATTAATTTTAAAAGAAAATAGTGTAATTAATCTTAAAATTAATTCCCCAATTCAATCAACGCTTTTCGCTTTCTTCAGTCAAGTACACAGTACAGCAAATAAAGTGTATCTTTGATGGGATACATTCAGGTACGAGTACCGTGTGGAGATGCTGCACCAGGTGTCGCGAGATCCCAGCAAGAACATCGTGCGCGAGTTCGCTTCGGACTTCGAGGTGGGCGAGTGCTGGGGGTACAACCGCTTCTTCCGCCTCGACCTGCTCGCCAGCGAGGGATACCTCAACCCCGAAGCTGATACTCTCATACTCAGGTACTATTACATCTTTCAGCCTGGCTCCAACATGATCGGTCGGCTCCAACACTTCCCAATAAATTCTAAAAAAAAATATAAAAAAAAAAACGAACATCGACAAAATCTATTCTATAAAATTTGATAGTCGTTTATATAATTTATCAGGTTTCAAGTGCGACCGCCCACTTTCTATCAGCGTTGCCGGGACCAACAGTGGTATATCAATCAGCTGATAACGATGCAGAATCAACACATTTTGCAGATAAATGATCTCAAAGAAGTGAGTTGTTCACACTCTCTAAGATCTACATTTTCTTTTTTACTCAACTATAATAATGTGTATTTTTCCAGCGTTTAAGTTTGGAAATGTCACGTAACTCAATAGCAGCGACGCGAGCTCCGAACAGCTCGATACCTTCGCAAGGCAACAATGACGACAATCCCGCGCAGAACAACTCTGTGGACGCCAGCGCCCTTAACGACTCTTTGTTGTACGGCAACCAGTGGAAATTCAACACCACACAAAGCATCATCAACGGTCAAAGACTTACCAGTCCAGGTAATACATTTATATTAAATTTCAGCACGAAAAAAACTTGTATAAAAATTTATTTGTAATTAAATTTCTCGCCCTCATTTACTTGTATTTTTGTTTGTTTCCTTTGAAATTTTTTGAAATAAAATACATTTTCAGTTACCTAACTCACAATTGTTTCCAGCGGGTATTCTAAATACATCTCTATTCCTGGACGACACGACGCGCAACAATGACGTGTCGTCGCAGTCGGGCTACGGGTTCGGCGACTACGCGCCGCTCGAGCGTCGCCTGCACGCGCACACGCACGCGCACGCTCAGCACGCCCTCGACGCGTACAACCTGCCTTCTACTTCAAGGTCAACTATCATATAGCCCTATAATATTGTGTGAGAACTTTGATTTCACATTGCGAAACGGTACATAGTACTTTTGTTTTTTTTTTTAAAGAGAAGGTAAAATTGTTTAGTTTGTTTGCGCAGGTCTGCCAGTTCTCTGGCGGCGGGCAGCGGCACGGCGGTGGGCGGCGCGGGCGGCGGCGGCGCGGACAGCATGGCGCTGGTCAGCCTGCACACGCTGCTGAGCGCCGCGCGCCCGCCCGCGCGTCTACCGCGACACGACAAGCTGCGTGCGCCCGCGCAGCCCGGCACGCCCGCCGCACCCGCCAAGGACACCCCCCTCACTGGTAACAGTACCACTCTTTAGTCTTTGTGAAAAATCTATACACCAAGTGACATAACAATTTTCTCACTT